TTACACATTGCTGGAGGGAGTCACACTTCATGTAAACACAATGGAAAGCTATTTGGCATCATTTTGCACAAGTGACATTCACATGTACTATCACTAGCAATTCTATTGCATACATACCCTGAGAGCTTTCATGTATCTGTGCCTCTAGAGATGTTTACCAGAATAATCATCGCAACACTGACAAAGCCAAATACTATAAACCAACCAACTGTCCTCAGATACTGAAAGGATAGATAAATTGTGATATGTTCAAATGAAGGAAAATGTTACACAGAGGTCAAAGTGAACAATAAGAACATATACATGGTGCTCACTGGGTGCCAAACACTGTACTTGGTCCTTGTCAAAAATAACTTTTTTTAATCCTTAGAGAAGACTAATATTTTCCCTCTTACAAAATGCAGAAACAGAGGCACAGAGATTAAGGAATTTTCCATGTATTATATATGCAAAGCCAGGATTTGAGTTTCAAAGTTGGAGTTATGCTCCTAATTTACTATTCTCCCTCTATCTGTAAATAAGCTAGAAGCAGAAGTAGCATGATGGAACTGAAAAATAAAATGAAACTAAATGAAAGAACAGAAAAATCAGAAGTAACCCCAGGAGACTGCAACATACTATTGGATATCAGTGGGATGCTGGGGATGTACGTGCCTTTGGAGATTGTATCCTGTCCTCCTGGCTCCAACCTTCTCTCTCTGCTTCCTAGCTACTAAGAGCTAAGGAGCTTTCTTCTGTCTCCACCCTTCTGCCATGGTGTTCTGCCTCACCTAGGATGCAGAGATGGTGTAGCCCACCATGGGCTTAACCTCTGAAGCCATGAGCCCCAAATAAACTTTATCTCCTCTAAGTCATTATTGCCAGATATTTTGGTCACAGCATGAAAAGCTAAATAACATTCAAGGAAAAGATGAACATAAACCCCAAAGTAAMAACTGCTTCCATGCATCAAAGGGATATAGGGAGAAATATGCAGAAGACAAAGGCAGCCATCCCTGTAGTGGGATTGATGATATTCTCATTTCTGAGTTGACTGGTGGTTTTGTAGATGTTTGTTTTTATTATTATAAATTCTAATGTATTTATGCTATTTATATCTTTTATGGATAAAATTTAAATACATTTAAAAAGATACAAAAGCTAATAAATAAATAGAAAGTCAGATAGTGATGAAAATGGGCTTTGGTTATATTTTCAAGAAGACTGATTTAAAGAGGAGGGATTTGTATCACTAGGTAGAGGTTCTGTGTGTGTGTGTGTGTGTGTGTGTGTGTGTGTGTGTGTCTTTATGAAAGGGTCTGCATCCAGATTATGGGAAAGTGGACTAGATGTAGTAGTTTGAGTCATGATGATATTGCCTCCCAGGGGATATCGGGCAATGTCTGAAGACACTTTGTGTGTGTGAAAGGGAGAGGGCTATGGGGAGGACTGTCACACAACTGGCACAAGTGACAACCATTGAGTAAAGATCAAGGATGCAGCTAAAGGTCCAAAAGTGCATAGGACACTACCCTCTCCAACTAGGAATTATTCAAAGGGTCAATATATATTATCCCAAGGCAGAAACAGAGGCACAGAGATTAAGAAACCAGTGATAGAAAAAGCAAAGCAGGATGGATTAAAAGTATAATAGACAATCGAATGAGAGTCAAGTCCAGACAAGACAGGAGAGCTTTGCCCAAAGGAAACACATAACATCTCCAGAGCCTGTAGACCACCTAGGGACCAACCCTTTCTTAAGCCCACTCCTTTAAACAGTGTCTATGGAGTAGACCTCATTTTGACTTTGGTGTAAGTGAAAAGAAATACAAACGGTCTATTCAGTTTATTGTTAATCATTCTGGAGAAACAGGCACAATAAGAAAAAAGTGCACAATAAGAAATATAGGTGAGGTAAAGCTACATCTATGTTAACAAAGTATAAGCCACAGGGCCCCTCCTAGGGACTTGTCCTTACTGTGGACCTGAGAGGGGCCTTAGTAGTGATGATTTTGTAACTTTGAATTAACTGTATTACCTGAAAAGCCCCCCRTCAAAATGTATGAATTTTGGGCCCCATGGAACAAGGATTTACTCCAAATGCAAGAAAGTTATTCAATTTAATAGTTTTTATAGCTACTCTCCATAACATCCTTGCTAGATGCACCCTGAAGCTGAATGGTCACATATTACTCTATTTAGTTCCCTAAGAGGCAGTTCATAAAACCGCATCACTCTCCCAGTCTCCCCCTCTTACATAGTTTTTACAGGTCATTTCCTCCATAACAACCTATCTTCTGGCATTAAAGGCCTGAGGGTACAATTAGGCCAAGACAATAAATGAGAATAAGTAGGTGATTCAATTCCCCCTACTCTGAAGGGGAATAACTTTAGAGTGGAAAGCTGCTATCTTTTGGTCTCAAGGTGCACATAGGAAACAATAGCCCAGAAAAATTGTTATGAGTTTTGTGTACATGAAGTCACCTAAGATACTCATTTTAAATGTAGATTCTAAGGATTCTCTTCCTAAGTATCCCATGATTCTGGTCCAAATATGGTAAAGAGCCATTTGCTCGACACAAGTATTCTTAATGTTCTAGGATGCCATATTCTTTGGGAGATCTTTTAATAGTTATATTTTAACAATTTTAATAAAGGGATCAATCTATGGCTGACTTACTTATGATTCCCAGTTTAGAGATTCCTTTGCATAAAATCAGCATATGTAGATGATATCACTGAGAGCAGAAAAAAAAAATAGTAAAGATTGAAGTGGGAAAAAGACCATCCAAGGAGTGAGAGAATATCCTATTGAAATTAGAAGGAGGTCATGTGTGCACGTGCCCACGCATGTGCGCGCACATGAAAGTGCAGAGAGCAAGAGAAAAAGCAATATACACATGTTTGAAATCAAAAGAGAACCATAGAAGAAATAAAATTAAAGTGTTAGAAAGAAGGACTTAGGGTAAAATACAATAATTTCTACTCTATTCTGCAACCACTAAAATGATAGTAAAAGAATTAAAATGGCATAATCCAAAAGGACAAATAAGACTGCAGTACACACGCCAAAGAAATATCAGCAACATTTTAGAAATGCTAAAACATATGGACAAGTGCTGACTGGCTTCACACACTAGCAAAAACAGAAATCTAAATGCCTGAAAGGTGAGGGGTGCCAATAAGCATGATGATTCCTGAAAAAGAACTTTTCAGAAATCAGAGGTCTACAGAGTGAAAAGGGGATTGGTGTTGATATCAGAGAAAACATTTCAAAGTATGAATACTGAGCAGTAAGCCCAAACCATGGGGGGAGTCTAACTTCACGGAGTAGCAGAAAGAGTCCAGAGCAGAGTGGGAGAAAAAAAAATGTCAGAGAAATAATGGGCATTTTCCAGAACTGAGGCCATGGGGTCTCTCCTAGATAGATTCATTGGGTTCCAGCACAATGGATGAGAAAAGACTACTGGTAGAAGAAATATGGGACAGCTTAAAAGACTGATGGTAGAAAAAATATGGGAGAGCTTTAAAATAGATATTAAAAGAGGGATTCTAAATGCCTGGGCTCAGGAGTAGGGTGGCAGGAAACAGCCTATCTACAAAACTTTGAAATCAGAATTGCATCATAATTCTCAGCAGTTATTTTTAAGCTTGAAAACAATGGAGCAATAAATAATTCTCAAAATTCTGTAGGACAAACTCTAGTAAAATAACAGGGTAAGATTCATATTTTTTAATAAAGTGTAAAAATTTCAGTAGAGAAGCCGTTGAAAAAATAGTAAAACTCATAAATATTTAAGCCGATTTTAAAAAGTAATAATGTTTAATTTTAGGAGAAACAGACTGCAGAAAGAAGAAAGGGCTGGAGGCTAAGAAAGGAAAGATGTGAATTTTATTTCCCTATTTTATAGTAGTATAAAGATAAGATTTAACCAAAACTTGAGTTATAGTATATTGGGAAGATGGAGGGCAGGTAACTGGAGGATTGCTGGTGAAATATGGTACAGATATTTGAACTGTGCTACTGCAACAGAAAACTAAACTCCTCATCCTCCCTAAGGTTAACATATATTGTTTAAAAACAACAATGTAAATCAGGAAGAGTATACAGATGTTGGCTTCTAAGGTGGTGGAGTGGTACTGGGATTGAACCCTGGGCCTCAACATGCTAAGCACACTCTCCATGACCAAGTTATGTCCCAACTCCTAATGCATGAATGGTATATAGAAATATAGATGTAACAACCAGAAAAAAATGGATTAAAAACTGGCAAGGATTAAGGGATGATGCTTTTTGTCATATTTTCTTAGAAGACTTTAGAAAACATGAACATGGCCCATTTCCATGAATATAAAAATAAACTATAAAGAAAGTAGATTATATCATATATACATTTATGCCAAAAAATATATTTCTTCGTGTTTCATGTAAAATTGATATGAGGCCAAAAAATTTAACCCAATTCAACCCTGTGTAATTAAATGTACAGTTTAGTTAACAGTTTTTCTTCTTTTTACAGTTAACCTTGTGCAAAATGTTGGGCTCTTACTTATTTTAGTGTTATACCTTATTCCACCAGGTTTAAGGAGCAACCATCTGAATTAGTGGTGTTACCAATGGAAAGCATCAATATAACATCATATACTGATGTCATACATCCATATTTATTCAAGCTTAAATATTAGAGCAATAAAGGCCAGAGGAACTGCTAGTAATTCAGCATGCTCTGACTCAGTTCTCAGGACAGTGGGTGTGGTGACAAGAGCCATAATGCATGAGGAATGTCACATCACCAAGCAAAAGTCTCTAAATCTGCATTATCAATGGTGTGCTAGAATACTTCAGACATGATTTATAAACGCTTCACAAAATGACTTCATTTCTTCTGAATTTTATTTCAATAAAGTAATCATTCAAAAATTTAAAGTGATCAAAATGATGGGAAAAAAAACAAGTCAAGTAATATCCTTGCAATTCCCCCCTTTTATTTTCCTTCTAAAATAGTTTGATGTTTCAATACCTCTCTATAGCCATCACTGATTCGTTCCAAGCTGAGGGAAAACACAAGGTCCCTGCCTCCCACAAAGAGTCGTTCTTGATATTCATCCAGCAGCATTGTATGGAGATCAAGAAATCCAAAAGGGCTATGAAATATTGATGTTCTGTTCAGATCCAAGAGCTCTGAAATGCAAAGAGATATATATACGAAATACATGAGAAAATGCAAATACCTCTTTAATAAACATTTTTCTCCTGACTGTATTTACAATCCTTTTGGAACTAACTAGTTAACAATCATGTTCTCATAGCTATAGAGAACTTTGAACTTCAGTATTCAAAAAAGTTTAGAAATATATACTAAACCTTCAGTAGCGATGTAGGATTAGTTTCAGCCCCACTCTGCTCTGACACTAAAACCTAAGGATGATTAGTTTGCTTATATAAAATGGCATTGTTTCTGCATATAACCTTTGTGCATTCTTCTCTATATTTTAAATCATCTTGAGATTACATATAGCACCCTAATACAATATAAATGCTATATAAATAGTTGTTATGCTTTATTGTTAAGGGATTAATGACAAGAAAAAAGTCTTTGCATGTTCAGTACAGACAGAATATTTAAAAAAAAATATTTTAAATCCATGAATCTGTGGGGTGTGGAAACCACAGATACAGAGGGTCAACTATACAGTCAAACTGACAATAAATTAAATGTGTGAAAATTAAAATCTTTTACCAATTTATGAATCTAAAAATTTAAATCTAATGTAATAGGTTAGGTAAATATTCTATGTTTTTTTAAAAAATGATTTTTAAATTGTAGGTGGACACAATACCTTAATTTTGTTTTTATGTGGTGCTGAGGATTAAATCTAGCATGCTAGGCAAGCACTCTTCCTCTGGGCCTCAACCCCAGCCCCAATGTTTTAAAATTAAAAAAAAAAAAATCATCCTTGACAATCTTTAATCTCCAGTGCTATGTGGAAAAGTCATTTTATAGCTTCTCTATGTATAACAAAATGCCAAATCTATATTAAACACTCTCAAAGTGTGTCCATTTAATTTTAGATGAACACCAACTAAGAAAAAATGTTTCTACTTTAAATCAGTATTGAAAGCCACAGCCAAAATCAATAGTACAATTCTAAAAACTAATCAAGGTTACAGCTACACTGAGTTATTAACAGTGGGAGTTTGTTTTCCACAATTGTGATTTTGCTAATGTTCATGCATTTATGCCTATGTCAGAAATTGCAAACTATGTGCTTTAGATATATATACTTAATTTTAAGGAATAAGAATCTGGAAAGCCTCTCTTATGTGTACATTTGTTTGTTGAAGCTATTTAATTGCATATGGCAGTTCAATATTAAAGTTGGTAAAATTATATACGAGTGCCTTTGATAATGAGAAAGAGTATTATCCCCAAATTAGACCACGAATGGAGAAGAGTTTCTGAAGAGGCCCCTTGGAAATGTTAGTTAGAAGGTAACTTCCTTTTCCAAAGGTCAATGTCAAACGTCTTTGACAGAGAAGGTAGAACATTATTGACCAGAACACTAAAATACGGATGATAAAAGAAAATACAACAAATTGAGAGCATTTTATTCACTCTTCTATATCTTCTGTTTCTGAAAAAGATTTTTTCTTCTCCTCCTTTTAAAAATGTATTCCTTGTTTAAGTCTTTATTCTGCTACAGTTGATGCCCAAGATTTTCTGGAGTAGGATTAACTTTAAATTTAGAGTTTACAACTTAGGTATCTTTTATAAAGGTAAAATTTGAGATGAGTTGTTTATTACCTCAATAAAGAATTTGAGAACAAGTTGTTAGGGTGGGATGAAGAGAAAGTAGGTACTCTATTTGGAGAGGAAAAAACAGGAATTTGACAGATTAGAATATCTTGAATCCTGGAACACAACTTTTTTTCCATTTACTAATTTTGTCAAGGTAAAAATCATGCTGTTGTCCTTATTAAGGTATTTACACATAAAAGCACAGCTGGGATCCAATACCAAAACAAACATACAGATGAAAGCTATCAGCTGCTACCATATTTTGTCTTTATAAACATGTATGATTTCATATCAGTACCACTAAGTGAACTCTTTTCTATAAAAGTTTCCCCAGTTATACTGATAGTTAACTAAAATTTTCCAGTTTTTGTACTCCATGAAAATCATTACCTGGATGGGTGCAACTGATCAAAGAAAGGTCACATATTCACTACAATTAGCAGGATTCTAGACCACAGACTTGCCAATACACAAAGAGGCAAAATTTAGGAGATTAAATTTGTTGAAAAATAAAAGTAAAGTATGAAAGAATTCAAATATGAGGGCCCTACTCTAAAATATTACCAGAATGGAGTGATATATTTTTGAAGGTTTGCACTGGAATGAGAGGCAGACCAATCAGCAAAGGGGTTACTCCATGAGTGAATTCAATCTAGGGATAACTTTGCCTACTTCTGATGAGGTCATTAGTACCTTTGTTACCATCTACATGTGGAAAAGTACACACTAACTTTTTCTTGTTTTTATGAATTGCCAGTTTCTGCTAAGCTTACTATAATTGCAATAGTCTAAAGTGGTAGCTTTTATTTCTTCATCAGTAATAATATAAATTATTTATTAAATCATCAATCTTATTTTATTCTGATGTATTAACTTCTCTTCTGACCAGTTCAGCTTCTCTATGGCCAAATCTATACAAAGAGTTTACAAAGATGCACACATGTTCCTTTAGCTGCACTAAAGAATACAAATGTAAAGACTAAAGAATGCAAATGTAAAAAACTGAAGTGTGCATTAGAGTAATGTAAATTTTGTAAATATCCACTTTTAGTGACTTTTACATTTTTTTCCCAAACAGTAAGCTACCACAGTGTAATCATTTAAATAACCACTCATTTATTTCACTGATGGAAAAACTCAGGTGCCCAGAAATTTAATGAATATCTTACAGGAATATACTAGTATAATGAAAAGAAAAAAACCTTTCAAATGACCCATAAAAACATGAGAATGAAAGCACAATGAATGTATATATCATCACCAAAATTCTTATAGACTGATAATCTTGAGAGCCAAATGCTGGTCCTGGCTTTGGCCCTTATTACCTATAGAAACCTGAAGAATCTCTTAACCTCTTTAGATTGGATTCCTGAAGTGTTAATATGTGTTCCACCTTTAAAATTCTTAATTCTTTGAATTGTGTTTTTTTAATTTATTTATTTTTTTATTGTTCGTTGTTCAAAACATTACATAGTTCTTGATATATCATATTTCACATTTTGATTCAAGTGGGTTATGAACTCCCATTTTACCCCGTATACAGCTTGCAGAATCACATCAGTTACACTTCTATTGATTTACATAGTGATATACTCATGTCT